GCTAATACCTAGCATTAGTTTCCAAGTTGCTCCCTAACAAAACCTGAGCCTAGCTCCGGTCTCTAGGCTAACTCCCAACAAGACCAGCATCTCCAGGTTATTCCAACAAACCTGCACCCCCAGGTTACAAGCCTGCCGCCTACCTAACAACCACCAATGCAGAGGGGAACAGAAATTAAGTTTATGATATGACTTCCAGCACCACCCAATTATGTTAAAGGCCACAGTAGCTTTCCAATTAGATGCTTGCACACTTACTCCCCCCAACCCTTGCTGCTTACTATAAAGCCTTGTCCTGATAGATATCGGGGCTCACCCACCACCAAAATTGTTCTGTGTGACAGGGAGAGGGGGACAAGCTATCTTGAATAGAATAAAGGCCCTGATGTGAGTTGCATCCTCCTGTCTGTTTTTTGGGGGATCACTAACATTTCCCTGGCACTACTACAGCACCTCTCAAACTGAAGAGATGGCTCAGTGGTTAAGAGCACTGGCTGCTCTTCCAGAGGTCCTGAGTTCAATTCCCAGCAACTATGTGGCAGCTCACAATCATCTGTAACTCCAGTTCCAGGGGATCTGACAACTTCATGCCTATGCACATAAGGCAAAATAAATTATTTAAAGAAAAAAAAAAGGAGTTTGCTTCCAGAGCCACTCTGGAGGCTCACAAACTCCTGCCTTTGGAGTTGGAAAGAGGAGGCTCCCTGCCAACAAGCTCAGGCGCCAACAAGCAGAGGCTCTTCTGCCCTCTTCTGGCTTGCACCAGCACCTGTACTCAAGTGCCCTCCTCATGTACCAATATACATAATTTTAAAAAAAATTGGGAGTCTTGGTGGTGCATGCCTTTAATCCTAGTACTCTAGAGGCAGAGGCAGGCAATTCTGTGGGTTCAAGGGCAGCCTGGCCTCCATACGTAGTTGCACAGCCAGTTAAATGGTGAGACCAAAGATAAAATAGAAAGTGGTAAAAAAGAAAGAATTCTCTCCAGCCCTATTTCAGTTTTGTTTTTTGAAGTAGAATCTTTCTATATAACCCAGCCTGACCTCAAAGCTTCAATCCTTCCGCCTTCTTCCTGATAGATCATTGATATCACTCCATTTGATTCTTAAAACAATTTGAAAGAGAAGGGAGGGTTGAGACAGAGTTTCTCTGTGTACCATTTATTTTGTGTATTGGAGATGAAATCTAAGACCTTGCAAATGTTAAACAATACTATAAATTATGCCACGAACCCCTCGATGGGGATCAGATGCTTAACCATATAGCCGCATAGAGCATAGATATAAGGAACAGCTTCCTGCTGTTCTCTTGTCAACACCGTCACCTCTCCAGATAACCAGGAACAATACTTCCCGACTTAAAAGCCGTCACTTAAGCCGTTCATAGTGTATTTTCCACATGAAGCAATAGCCTAAGGTCCCAGTGATTAGGATATGGACATCTCGACATCTCCTGCTCCTTCACTGTACACACAGAAGTGGGAGCAAGGGTCCCAGCTGTTCTATGGGTACCAAGAGACACCATGGCCACTGCAACTCTTATAAAGGCAAGCATGTAATTGGGGCTGGCTTACAGTGTCAGAGGTTTAGTCCACTGTCATCATGGTGGGAGGCACGGCAGCGTGCAGGCAGACATGGTGCTGGAGAGGTAGCCAAGAGCACTGCAGCTGTATCCTCAGGCAGCAGGAAGAGACAGGTGACCCCTTAGGTCTGGCTTAAGCTTCTGAAACTTCAGAGTGTGCTCCTGCCCTGACACACTTCCTCCAACAAGGCCACACCTACTCCAACAAGGCAGCATCTCCAGTAATGCCACTCCTTATGAGCCTATGGGAGCCATTTTCATTCAGACCTATATACCAGCCATGCATGAGTGCTACAGGAAGGTGGAAGGGCACATGCTGGGCAGAATAAAATCTAACTTTTGGCAAGAAGAGTATCAGGACAAATGGTAAGATGGCTTCAGTCCAGTGAAGTGTTTTAATGTCCTTCTTGCCTCCTCTCCCCTCAATGTATATATAAAGAATTCCCTAGGGTGGGGTTGACACACAGTACCTTCAAGTGGTGGCAAGCAAAGAGCAGGGTAGGGGGCTGGACAGATGGCTCAGTGGTTAAGAACAGTGGCTACTCTTCCAGAGGGCCTGAGCAACCCACCTGGTGGCTCTTATAATGAGATCTGGCGCCCTCTTCTGGCCTGCAGGCATAATAAGTAAATCTTTGGGGGAAACAAAATAAAACATTGGCTTTTCCAGGGGATCCAGGGTTCAATTCCATAACTTACACTTGTCTGTAACTCCAGTTCCAAAGATTCAGCACAGAAACATACGCACACAGAACACTCATCAATGTGTATGTGTGTGTGTGTATGTGTGTGTATATGCACATACTCATACACACACACACATACACACACACATATACACACACACACATGCACACAGAACACCCATCAATGTATATGTGTATGTGTGTGTATACTCATACACACACATATACACACACACACATATATACACACACATGGGGTTGGGGATTTAGCTCAGTGGTAGAGCGCTTGC